ACACACACACACACACTCACACACACACACACACACACACACACACACACACACACACACACACACACACACACACACACCCACCACACACACCACACACACCACAGACACAACACACACAACACACACACACAGGACACACACACACACACACCCACCACACACCACACACACACCACAGAGACAACACACACACACACAACACACACACACAGGACACACGCACAAAGCACACACACACAACACACACACACCCGCATCAAACACACACACCAACACACACAGACAAACAAACAATCAATCAAGCAAACAAACTGGAAGATGGGCGGCCCGAAAGCATTAGCAGCGGCGGCAAGTTCTCCAAGAAAGTTCTCTGTGCAAGTTGCTCTGAGTAAGTTGTTGACGCGAGTTCCTCTGAGCGGAGCTGCGAACGTTTACTTCGCGTGCCACTTTCGTACTTTAAAGTTGCGATCTTCCTGCGAAAGTCTACTTCGAGCTTCAAAGTTGCGATTTTGCGCTGCGAAAGTTTACTTCGTGTACGCGTACTACTTTCGTACTCAAAAGTTGAGACTTTCCAGCCTTGCGACTTTCCAGCCGGAGCTGCGAAAGTTCACTTCGTGTACGCGTTCTACTTTCGTTCTCTTCAGTTGCGACTTTCCAGCCGGAGCTGCGAAAGTGTACTTCTACTTTGTTTCTTGTTGTTGCGATTGTCGAGCCGGAGCTGCCGCGGAAAAGGGGGGGATCGAGTACTACTTTCATGAGCTGGAGCTGCCGCGGACCAGGGGGCGAATCGAACCCGCGACCGTGGATTGCGATTGCAACCGCGCGACAACTTCCAAAGGCCGTTTCGTGAGCAAGACAGTCGCACGGGGCCACAGCGAGACACGCGCGATGCCCGCAGAGGGTTGCGCGCGGATCGCAGAAATCGTAAAATAAGCCTCAGTTCTTGAACATCCATCGACCACGCGGGTCGGGCCAAGCGGAGGCATTTCCAGGACACTTGACTGGTTTCTCGGGGGATTTTTGCCGATTTTTGGGAGACCTGCTTTTACAGGGAACTTGACAGGTTTCTAGGGGTTTGTGGCTCCACCTGCATCATGATGATGCTGACAGCATCATGATGATGCTGACAGAATCCTGCTGGTACACCAGCCACGAACCCTTTACGCGCTAGCCGTGCTACATTTAAGGCAGTCCTGGCGAGTTCGACAGCATCATGATGGTGCGAACATCATCAAGATGATGCAGCCAGCGCCATGATGACACAGCCACGAATCATCTTGCGACATTGCAGTGAAATGAAGCATCGTCATGATGATGTAGACAGAATCATGGCGCTATATGGCCGGCAACGCGGCGTCGAAATGACTCCAGCAGCATCATGGTACGGCTGGCGCCATCATGATGTTACACCAGCCACGAAAAGCACCCTGCCTGCTAGAGGGCATGTAGTTTGGGGTGCTGTTTGAGGCGCTGGTGGTGGTGCGGGCGCATGTTTGCGAGGTGCTAGGGGGCATGCAGTTTGGGGTGCTGTTTTGCTGTTTAAAGTGGTGGTGTGGGCGCACTGTTGCGAGATTGACGGCCAGGTGCTGAAACACATGCAGTTTGGGGTGCTGGTGCAGGCGCTGCTTTGGGGTGCTGTGGGGTGCTGGCGCAGGTGCTGTTGGAGGCGCTGATGACGGCGCGGTTGCATTCTTGTGGGTTGACCCCTGCCGTCAATCTCGCAAATCACTTTCCCCTCTTTATTTGAAGTTAGAACCCCTATAGCCTTCGGATATCTGGGGAAAAACCGACACTTGCAGAAGCAATGAAGACACACATCAGGTCCAAGTTCTTGTCGCAAAGCAAGATTACGGAATCCCCAACCAACACCAAACCGATGCCCAACCGATACCCAACTCATTAGCCAATCCAGCCAGCTGCCCTGCAGCCTTCCTGGAGCCGCCAAAATGTACTTGAATTTCTACATGTGTGCTTAAAAGCTGCGACTTCCGCGCTGGAGCTGCCAAAAAGCACTTCGTATACTACACCATGCAACACTTAGAGTGTACTTCATAAACTACTGAACAGTTGCGACGTTCCAGCTTGGAGCTGCCCAAATGTACTTTTGTGTACGACACTTGTACTGAAAAGTCGCGACTTTCCAGTTGGAGCTGCCAGAATGTACTTTGTGTCTACACTTGTACTGAAAGTTGCGACTTTCGAGCCGGAGCTGTCACAGTGTACTTCGCAAACTATACTTAGTACGGAAAAGGCGCGACTTTCGAGCACGGGCTGCCAAAACACCGGCGCTGAGGAAATTAAAGGACCGAATAACTCCACATACCCAATTTTTCCCATCGCGCCGATGGCACTATGCCCTTTTTTTTCACTGCAGGCTTTTTCCTTTGTCGCGAGACAGCCCATCTATTTGCTCAATCACGGAGCGCAGAAAGTATTGCGCCTGCGCCCCACGGCGGCCAACCTTCGCAAGGCGATATAAAGTGTGTGTCAGTATGACAGTTAGTTGAGGTGACAGTTAGTTGGGTGTGTGGTATAATGTAAGCTGAATGTGTGACAGTTAGTTGGCAAAGCCAGTGAGCGTAAGTTGAGTGTGTGAGAGTAAGTATGACAAAGTCATTAGTGTGGCAAAGTCAGTGAGTGTAAGTTTGTAAGTTGAGTGTGCGAGAGTAAGTCTGACAAAGTAAGTGAGTGTCAGTTGAGGAGGCGGAGGCGGCGTAGGAGGAGTGCGCGTCGAGGGCGCGGAGCACGCGGAGACAACGCGCGAGACACGGGCGAAGACAGTAATAACAAGAACCCCGCACAATGATGTGGGGAAAAACCGATACTGACCGATACTAGGGCATAAGGATATCCGGGTTGTCCACGTTTTCTTTTCCACCCTAAATGAACTATCCGTTTTTTCCAGCTTCAGAGCCTCCCCTCGGGCATGGCGATGCTGCACAATTCATGACAGCCACTTTGAAAATGCTGGGGATAAAAAACGTTACGGAACCTTAAAGCAGTTTCAGCAGGCTTGCAACTTTGCCCAGTGGGATAGTTCATGCTCAAGCCAGCAGCACTCCTTTGCAGAAAATCTGTGAAATTCTTTCAGTCAGACCTGTACCCTGCATGCAAGGTCGGCTCGTTCCCTGCAAAGCAAATCTAGTGCAACTTGCTTGGGGGCCTGTGCCTTGCTTGTTTGGCTGCCATGGCACGTCGCCGATCGGACGGTGAGACCGACCGCGTGCTGTCAATTGCTGAAGACAAGCTAAGCGAGGTATGTCAGGAGTTGTGCGGCAACGTGACCCAGCACTTGAGAGGAGCAACTAACCAACTCATTCTCAAGCTGGATGAGCGGCTCCGCCAGAAAATGAGTGACATGGACGAACGGCTCCACCAGAAGGTGAGTGACATTCCATGCAAGCTGACTGAGCTGGACCTTGATGACGACAGCCCAATCAATGCGGTGGATGTGCAGGCAAGAAAGTCATCAAGGGCTTGGGGTGGTTCGCCAACACAGGAATCCTGCAGGGAATTCAAGTCGCAGTCGCCGGATCGCTTGGTTCGCTCTGCGAGCCCCAAGAAGCTCCTTCGAGTCATCGACGCTGACTGGGCCACCGACTCGGAGGACGCGCTCCATCCAGGCAGTCAATGGTCGACTCGCATTGTCCCAGCACGCGAAGAGATGAGCGAAGCCAGCGATGCAAGCGAAGCCAGCTATGTTGATGCTGATGCTGTCAAGAGTATTAAAGAAGACTCTCGGCCCAAGGCTCCGTCTTTGGGTGTCCCTGCGGCGCCCAACATGGGTCCAACATGGTCAGCAAAGAGGGCCAAGCCTAGTGCCGCAGGAGGTCGCGCCGGAATCGCAGAGAAAATCTTCGGCCTTGTGCCTGACTTGGTGGAGTCAAAGCGCAAGGACATGTCTCCTTGTCGCCAATTTGTGAAGCGAATCCTGTGCAGTACCTGGTTTGAGTGCGTCGCAATGGGCATGATCTTACTCCATTCGATGCAAATTGGAATTCAGATCAACTACTTGGCGGAGACAAGGGAAGTGGATGCCGGCCCTGCATGGCGAGTAGTTGACTTGCTCTTCTGCGCCTTCTTCACCTTGGAAGTGATCCTCAAGCTCTTTGTGTATCGTCTGCGCTTCTTCTGCATGCATGGCTGCGCATGGAACATTCTGGATTTCAGCGTGAGTGCTCTGCAGATATTTGAGGAGACGGCCGCCCTTGTCTTTGCTTCAGCCAGCAATGATGAGCCAATTATGAGCAGTGGTGTGATGCGCACCGTTCGTGTGCTGCGTGGCATCAAGGTCATGCGCCTAGTGCGCACGGTGCGTTACGCAGAAGAGCTTCAGCTCATCGTGAGTTGTCTGATCCTGTCGCTCAGAACTTTTGTTTGTGTATTGTCTCTCCTCATCATGACGATATATGTGATGGCCATCTACGCTACTCAGGCTGTGTATGTGCACCGCATCGAAAATCCGGACAGCAAGGGCAACGACGACCTGACAAAGTGGTGGGGGTCAATCCCCATTAGCATGCTCTCGGTTTTCCAGGCCTTGAGTGGAGGAGTTGATTGGAACGATATTTCCAGTCCTTTGCTGGAGTATGTGTCGCCTGGCTTTGGGCTCGTTTTTGTTCTCTTCATGGCCTTTTGCTACCTGGCCCTCATGAATGTGATTACTGGAACCTTTGTCGAGGCCGTAGCGCGTCAGGCGGGGCACATCAAGATCCGCACTCAGGTTCTTCAAGCGAGGAGGGTGTTTAATCAGATTGACTCCGATGGCTCTGGCTTCATTTCGCTTGATGAGATTCGAAACCAGACAGCAACAGCAGCTGTTGCTGACTTCTTTGACTCCATTGACGTGGATACATCCGAAGCGGAGTACTTGCTGGAGGTGCTGGACGCAGACGGCAGCGGGACCATTGCCTTCGAAGAGTTCCTGCATGGTGCGCTGAGGTTGAATAGCGCGGCAAGAGCTGCAGACTTGCTGCTTGTGGCACGGGAGTTGAAGAGGTTTTTCATCCACAACACTGCTGAGATGCATCTCATCAAGCAGAAGCTTGGCATCATGTGAAAGCAAAGAGAAGCTATGCCAAAGGCAAGCTGCTATTGCTGAATTCATCTATTTTTGACATTCCGGCTGTGCAACAGCTACGGTTCTACATTTCCTTGTCTTAGCTTAAGAACCGGGAACTGGCTTCCTCAAGCTTGAGCACTGTCTAAAGTTAGCACCACGGCGAATGCAGCCTGAAGCTTAGCTTAGGATGCAGAAGGCAGAAAGGCAAACAACAAACACATTGAGTCTAGGGCCGCCAACACGCCGGTGCTTCACTATGCGTCCCCAGTGCTGCTTGCCATGGTTTGTTTGCGACCATCTGTTGCAAAGCTCGTTCCAGGAGTCTGGTCGAAGCCTGTGGCGGAATTTGGGGCCGTGGCCTTGGGTACATTAGGGTGGGTTTGGATGGCCAGTATGCCCAATATAAAATGACAGGTCAGCCCGTCATGCTTGTTGGACCTTTGCAAATCTCGCTCCAGATCGATTTTGAGAGCTCACCGCGCGTGCTCAGCTGACGGAAGGCTTAGTGTTGGAGTTCTTCGATGTGGCACGCTCAGGTTGCATGCATTTGCCTTACACCTCGTATTTAGTAGCATCCTGCACCTTGCCTTCCAATCACGGAAAATAATCGTTGACAGGCATGAGGGACGAGAGGGGCTGTTCGGGAATGTGTGTCTGTGTGTGTGTGTTAACGAATCAGTCGCAGCTCATGTAAGCTGTATTTGTTCCATCTTCAACCTATCAAGACTGCAGAAAACCATTGCCAGCTGGCCCGCTGGTAGCCTGTCTCTGAAAAGTTGGCACCTGACTAGTACAGACATCCCCAATCAATTTGGCAACCCTCAATTGAGAAAATCATGAAACAAGCTGGGCGTCGGATCTGGTCTCCTTCGAGTATCTTTTGAGCTAGTATTGTTTGGTACTGACTTTGGGTTTAGTTTGTTGTGTTGGAGTGACTAACCTGCTGAGTATTGTTTTGTGTACTCGTTGGGGGGTCATGTTTTTTGTCCTGTGATGATTTGTTTTGGTATTGTGGACTCTTTTTCCTTTCCGGGGCACTAACTAGCTTTGACAATAGTTTTCTGATTTGTTTTATCCTTTGATGCCTTTGCCATTTTGCTGTTTTCCTTTGGAATTTGAAGTTTCTTGAAACCCACCCTGTTCAGTATGATGTTTGCTGGTTGCCTGTTTCTTTGTCACTGTAGACCATTGAAGCGTGTTTAATCCTTCGTGATGTTAAAACGACAGCCTGCAGAGGCAGGGGAGTATTCACAAGATGACCAGCATGGTTCCTCCTGCCTAGCAGCAGCCTGCGCCCTTGGTGTCCACAGACTTGTTTCTTTTATTCATGTCGCGCATGTGGCGTCTCCTTGTGCCCGATAATGTCAGAATGGTCATTTGGCGTTTGCAGGCTGGGACCAAACTGCAAGCGGCCGCAGTGTGGCCCAACGGTGCTGGTCTAAGATGGGATCTGGATCCATGTTGATATTCAGGGCCATCACTGTTCGCTGTTGTGGACTTGTGTTTGGGTTCAAGGCGCACAACATACACTGTCCACCATGCAGTTGTTTGACTTTGTAGCCTCGAGCACAAATCCACATAGGGTCTGCTTACATCGATATGATGAAGTAATGCTTGCTGACTAGGTTTCCGTAAGAAGCTAGATGCTGAAACGGAACAGTTCTTCGTCCTGCTCTGCAATGTTGACATCCCTACGAATCCCAGCTCGTCGGAGGCGAATGCTTGTAGAATGTTTGAGTACGAGTGAGGTTGCACATGAGGGTTTTATCCGAACGGTGCGGTGAAGAGGATTCAATTTTTCGGACTTCTGCTTTCAAGACGACAGGTTCAAGCTGAACCTGAAGCCACCTTTGTCCTTCGTGGTGGCCAACGGCAACAAGCCTCGGCCGTTGGGTCTTGCCGGCATTTCCAAGACTGAGGAGCGGGGAAAAAGACAGAGAGAGAGAGAGAAAGAGAAAGAGAAAGAGAAAGAAAACACATATATATATATATGTATATATACATAGAGAGAGAGAAGAAGAGAGAGAGAGAGAGAGAGAGAGAGAGAGAGAGAGAGAGAGACAGAGAGAGAGAGAGAGAGAGAGAAGCAGGAAGTGCGGACATTGAGGGAAGTGGCAGCGCTTGCGGGAATGCGGGGAATCGGAGGCTTGCGACTCCGTGTAAGGGGGCGTGGTTGGGGAGCTTCAACAAGTTCAAGTTGCATCCAGAGGTTTGGCCCCAACATTTTGGCCTTGGCTTTCCAGTGTGTTTCAAACTGAGAAGCCAGCAGCACAGCAGGACCTGGAGAAAAGAGTCCGTCCAGCCTTGGCATTGGCCGCCATCCCAGGGACGGGAGCATCACATTTATGCAAAGCTGCGTGCAGAATGTGAAGCTTCAGTCTTTCAACTGGGCGCCTTGTGAGCCCCCTTAGGTCCCAGGTATTGTCGTGGCTCACAACCTGACAGCTTGTGGTCCAAGGACACCGTAAGAATAGATGCCCTGAAGAAGCCTGGCGCCCGGCATGGAACTGCAAAGATGTTGCACCGGGTTTTTGACGCATGGTTTGGAATGAGCACGCGAGCTGGCCATGGACGTTTGAAAGCGTGCCTTTGCTGGGAAACATGAAACTTCGTACAAACGTCCATATTCCAAGCTGGGTGAACACTTCTGAACCACCCTGGCAAGGTGGTCAGCCTCCTGTACATCGCGCCGTGCTTGCGTGGTCGTTGGCCACAAGACCGCAGCTCAGACCTGCTCGGTGGGCCCTGGGCACCTAGGTGAGCCATTGCGGCATCTTGTCACATGTGGCAACTTGTTTCACAGCTGGGCAAACATCATTCATTCACTCATTCATTCCTTCCTTCATTCGTTCGTTCGTTCGTTCGTTCATTCATTGATTCCTTCATTCATTGATTGTTTCATTCCTTCTTTCATTCCTTCCTTCCTTCATTCCTTCCTTCCTTCCTTCATTCCTTCCTTCATTCCTTCCTTCAATCCTTCCTTCCTTCCTTCCGTCCTTCATTCCTCCATTCCTTCATTCATTCCTTCCCCTTCATTCCTTCATTCCTTCATTCCTTCATTCATTCATTCATTCATTCATTCATTCCTTCCTTCCTTCATTCCTTCATTCCTTCATTCCTTCATTCCTTCATTCCTTCATTCCTTCATTCCTTCATTCCTTCATTCCTTCATTCATTCATTCATTCATTCATTCGTTCATTCATTCATTCATTCATTCATTCATTCATTCATTCATTCATTCATTCATTCATTCATTCATTCATTCATTCATTCATTCATTCATTCATTCATTCATTCATTCATTCATTCATTCATTCATTCATTCATTCATTTCATTCATTCATTCATTCATTCATTCATTCATTTCATTCATTCATTCATTCATTCATTCATTCATTCATTCATTCATTCATTCTTCATTCATTCATTCATTCATTCATTCATTCATTCATTCCTTCATTCATTCATTCATTCATTCATTCATTCCTTCATTCCTTCATTCTTCATTCCTTCCTTCCTTCCTTCCTTCATTCCTTCCTTCCTTCCTTCCTTCATTCCTTCATTCCTTCATTCCTTCATTCTTCATTGATTCATTCCTTCATTCATTCCTTCATTCATTCTTTCATTTCTTCATTTCTTCATTCCTTTATTCCTTCATTCCTTCCTTCATCCCTTCATTCCTTCATTCCTCCATTCCTTCATTCCTTCATTCCTTCATTCCTTCATTCCTTCATTCCATTCATTCATCCATCCATCCATCCATCCATCCATCCATCCATCCATCCATCCATCCATCCATCCATCCATCCATCCATCCATCCATCCATCCATCCATCCATCCATCCATCCATCCATTCATTCATTCATTCATTCATTCATTCATTCATTCATTCATTCATTCATTCATTCATTCATTCATTCATTCATTCATTCATTCATTCATTCATTCATTCATTCATTCATTCATTCATCATTCATTCAGTCATTCATTCCTTAGTTCATTAGTTCATTAGTTCATTCACTCACTCACGCACTCACTCGCTTACTCATTCACTCATTCATTCATTTGTTCGTTCGTTCGTTCATTCATTCCTTCATTCGTTCGTTCGTTTATTCATTCATTCATTCATTCATGCATCCATCCGTTCATCCATCCATCCATTCATTCATTCATTCATTCATAAATTCATGCATCCATCCGTCCATCCATCCATCCATCCATCCATCCATGCATTCATTCATTCATTCATTCATTCATTCATTCATTCATTCATTCATTCATTCACTCACTCACTCACTCACTCATTCACTCATTCACTCATTCACTCATTCACTCATTCACTCATTCACTCATTCACTCATTCACTCATTCACTCATTCACGCATTCACTCATTCACTCATTCACTCATTCACTCATTTACTCATTCACTCATTCACTCATTCACTCATTCACTCATTCACTCATTCACTCATTCACTCATTCACTCATTCATTCATTCACTCATTCACTCATTCATTCATTCATTCATTCATTCATTCATTCATTCATTCATTCATTCATTCATTCATTCATTCATTCATCATTCATTCAGTCATTCATTCATTAGTTCATTAGTTCATTAGTTCATTCACTCACTCACGCACTCACTCGCCTACTCATTCACTCATTCATTCATTTGTTCGTTCGTTCGTTCATTCATTCCTTCATTCGTTCGTTTGTTTATTCATTCATTCATTCATGCATCCATCCATCCATCCATCCATTCATTCATTCATTCATTCATTCATTCATTCATTCATGCATCCGTCCATCCATCCATCTATCCATCCATTCATTCATTCATTCATTCACTCACTCACTCACTCATTCACTCATTCACTCATTCACTCATTCACTCATTCACTCATTCACTCATTCACTCATTCACTCATTCACTCATTCACTCATTCACTGATTCACTCATTCACTCATTCACGGTTTCACTCATTCACCCATTCACTCATTCACTCATTCACTCATTCACTCATTCACTCATTCACTCATTCACTCATTCACTCATTCACTCATTCACTCATTCATTCATTCATTCATTCACCCACTCACTCACTCACTCACTCATTCATTAATTCATTCATTTATTCATTCATTCATTCATTCATTCATTCATTCATTCATTCATTCATTCATTCATTCATTCATTCATTCATTCATTCAGACACAAGTGAAACAGACGCCCTAACAGGGATTTTTCTGCCGCCCAGTGAAGTTTGCATCAGGAACCAGGCACAGCGCGACACTGCGATGAACGTGCTGAAGCGGGGTTCCTGGCTATTGCTGCATTTGATCACATGAACACAGCGTAGGGATCAGCCGCTTCACCAAGGAATTAATCACAGCCTGCTTGCTGGTAGATGGGGCACAAAACCGATTCTCATTGGACCCCGCTTTTTTGGACATTCGCAGCCTCAGCTTAGTCTCCGCCAAGCAGATAGTCAGTATACAAATGAATGCATATGTTAGGTGCGATTCACTTGCAACTGAGCGTTGCAGAAGCCATGTCTTGGCAGGCCACTCCAAGAGCAGTTCCGTGCTCTGAAGATGGTGACGTTGGACACCTCATTCTGGCACGCCCCCATCCATGGAGGAGTTATGGAGGGATTGAACCATCGTCCCGATGGTGACACCCGTGATCAGAGCATTTGCGGCTCAATTCAGCGGATCCAATGGCTAACCCCGTCTGGCGCCATGTTTGAGCTGAATGTTGCTCCACGCCAGTTGCTCGGGCTGACGCAGGCTGAAGCTCTGCCGCTGGAAGCTCCATGCACCCAATCCACTGGCCGCTGCCTTTTGTCTTTCCCCTCTTCTGGGTGTCCAGACTTAGTGGTACTAGTAACTAGTTTGATTATTTTCCCTCACATGCAGTGGCTTTCCAAATAGTGCACTCAGTGGATGGATCTTTTGTTTGTGGTTTGGTGTTCGTAGCTGTCCTAGTTTCCGAGCTCCGTGGTTTTCCGTCCGAGGAGCTCTTTGGGCAGAACGCAGCTGAGACGCCCAGGGGCTTTCAGCTCGACCATGACACCGTCCTCGCCCGGCAGGTGGCTGGTTCCCCGGAGGCTCTGCCAGCAGCTGGGCAAAGAAAAGCGGGCGAGGTCGGCAAGGTTGCCCATAGGGTCGACACGCGTTAAACCTTCAAGCTGTGCTGGCAAGAGGGTGACACACACACACACACACACACAGAGCCAACCTTTGACTTTTGTTTTGGCTTCAAATCCGCCTTAGCTGATACAACAATCTGTTCAAAAAGCGTGCTGAAGCTATTCATGCCAAAGGAGTCTGACAGCAGCATTTGCGCGAGATTTAGACCATTATGCTTCCCAGCTGCAATGACTTTGCGATGGCACCAAAGGCAATGTGCGCTGCCCCTGATTGACTTTCACTTTGGGACCCGTGTCAATTCTTTCTTTCCGCTGCTTGCAAAGGCCTTCTGGATGCGATCAGCTTTCCAGCAAAGCGACCAGCGGACAGTATCACAGCTCCCTTTAGGTCCGCGAGGGCATGGGCGGCCAAAGTGTAGCACGCCCTCCTGCACAGCTGGGTGACGCCACACATTCTACTCGCTGCCGTGGGCAGCTGGCTGGCCGCTGGCTAGACCTGGCATGCTTCATGCAGTGCGAAGGAGGGGAAGGGTTGCCTTCTTGGCTGTTCCGGAACTTTGCAGAACCATCTTGCTGATAGCTACCCGTTTGGTCCATTCTCGCTGGTGTGTTTCATTCGTGTCAAGGTGGCAGCCAGCTGAATGCAAACTTTGTTTTATGTGTGTGTGCTATTCTGCATGCTCATGTGCTCTCCGCACTTCAGAAGTTTGCACTATGCCCTCAGTGGTTTGCTAGCCAATCTTCAGCTTCAAGCCTTAAGCTATTCGGGGATAGTTTTTGCTAGTTTGGCCTCCAACCTGCAGCTTTCTCCCTGCAGGTCCACATTTTCAAGACGGCTGGGCTGTGTTCCGCACGAAAGTGGAAGAGAGTCTGGTTCTCACTTGGCTTTGATCATGGTGCATTGGGATGCCTTAGCATTTGGGATGCAGTTTCCACCCGTCTTGAAGCGTTTCTTGCTCAATGTGAAGTCTAATGCGCCTATCTCAGGAATGCCCGACTTCACTACAGAGTGGATATGGCACTCTTCGAGTCCGCTAACCAAGTGATTGAGGACAACCAAGTGAGGGCTTCTTTGAGCTTTTCAGATCTTGCAATGCCAGAAGCAGATTCAGCCGTGTTGGGGATTTCAGAAAACTCCCATTCCACGTCGAAGCAAGCCTACATTCAAGCCTCTGCTGTTCCTTGCGGCCTGCAAGGAGTCGCTACAGCAGGGCACAGGCTTGATTGTGGGCAGGTCCCGCTTCATGGCGACACGGCAAGGTGGGGTGGCTACATGTGTATTATTAGGTTGGTTTCTGGCAGTTTGTCTGTTTGACATGGCCCCAGACCGCACACCATGTTACACTTGCGGGAATCGCATTGAAGGGAGTTTCTGTCTCGATGACATAGCGGCTCGCACAGATGGGTCTGTTTGTTCTGGCTTCGGCGCAACAACATCAGTGTGCAAGAATGGATCCAAGCAAGTGGGTTTGCACGCACTGCGGGAAGAGCTGTGATTCGCAACTTAAAGGGACGCCTGGCACCCATTGCATGTGATCCAAGGACCGCTTGCGACACGAGACCAACGAGGATAGCACTCTCCAAGGCTGGCAGACCTTGGGCAAGACGACACATTGGTTCTCTCAAAAACTGTGCTAGAGCAGACAGAAATGAGTAGTTTGACAACCATACTTGCCTTACTCCCCTGCATGCTGGGCTCTTCATTGCCGCCTGTTCTGCTTTCAAATACTGCCAGCAAACGTTAGTTTGGATCATTTGCCCTAACGTTTCCAATCCAGCCGCTGGAATCCAATCACTGTTCAAACAACTTGTTGTGCACTGCATTGAGTTTCTTTTGCCGCTCGGCATGAGTTCAGCGTGCCTTGTGGTAGCATTCTGCACACTATCGACCCTTGCAACAGCTGTTTACATTGTTTCTTCCCAGTGACGTGTTGTGATGGGTTCCGCTCTATTCTTTATATAATGCGTCTCATGGCTTGAGTAGCAACATTCATTTCCGCCGCAGTTGCACCACAAGGCCCGGGGCTTGGAAATCCACTGACAGCTCAGAGGATGGTCTCCGTTTTGCAGCCATCTCGGTAGGCCGAATTCTTGTGGAGGGCAACTGAAATACTGCGATTTTCCAGATCCGGTTCAAGGCAGATCGCTTCTATAACGATCCCTACTTGCTTGAGACTATGTTGTTCGAGTGTATTTTCATGTGTAAGTCAAATACTTGCAACAGAACAAGGACACATGAGCCACAATCAAAACCCGAACGTTAGTAAGGGACACTCCCAGCCATAAATGGGTGCGCCGCCTTGTAATTCTCTACATGGTTCTGGGTAGGCCATTTTAATACCGAGTTTTGATTGTGACTCACATGAGCAGTCAGCTGTTGGCGTGCCTGGCAGGGCAACTGTTTGGGTCTTCATGGACAAAGGCCATCGCATGCCTTTTACATGGCTCGAACCTCAATGCACACTGAGTTGCCGTAGATCTTTTCCTTCCTTGAAGCCAGTGGAGGCTTCTGCCTGTATGGCATCGTAGCTGCTGCCTTCATCCGAGCCCGACATTTTCTGGAAGCAGAGGCGCCACGTTCTTGCAGCGATTTGCATTGCAGCTCTCGAAAGCAGAATGGCCCTTGCTCTGCTCGCATTATTCTAAAAAACACTTTGACACAATGCCTGTGTTTTGAAGGGGCATCCATTCGCAAACAAATAATATATTACAGTACCGGAGCCGCAGAGCCCAACTTGTGTGTGGGGCATTTTTGTGTACGTTGGAGGTAACCCCTCTCGCACTGTTCACAGACCGCTCTCTTGCGATGGTTTGCGCTCTTTGCTTCTGAATTTCAATGTCCGCATGTCGGACCATGCCAGACACATTCAAGACTCAAGGGATTCCCTTGGCGACAAGCAAAACAAATTTTGGGGAAGGCAAGTCAGTGTGCAAAGTATTATTGTGGCTCTCCAGACCATGGGTGTTGCGGATTTTCGGCTTCAACCAGCCATCTGTAAAAGAGCATAGATTCTTGCGAGTCTGTTTTCAATGTTTATCTGCTGTGTAAACCTAGCAATCTCCGTGGAGACTGTTCCAACTCACACGAAAACTGGAGCTTAGCAATACCAACTTCATTTTGGTGGCCGGTACAGGTGCTGCGAGCAGTGGGCCTGGCGCCAGGTGAGGCAGTGCAGCACCTTTGTCAAGGGCAATGGGTGTCCGAGGGTCCACGACTGGAATTGAGGTTGTGGGATGGGTCGACTGCCTACACAAGAGATTTAGTATGCTGCACAAGAGTTTTAGTAAGCTGCTGGCGTTGTTGACCGGGGCAGCATTCATCCAAGCAGAGTCTGCGGCGATTTCGCTTGTATTTAGACAGACTCCGGCAGCTTTGCGACCAGAAGCTAGTCAGAAGTAGAGTA